CAACTATTTTATGTTTTTGAAATTGCCACTTGTTTTCAAAACGATTTTTATAAAAACCAAAAAAAATAATAATGATTACCAAATGAGTTTTTTTTTCCTTGTTTTCTCTAAAAGCCAAAATAATAACAAAAAACAAGAAATAAAAACTAATTTCAAGTAGTCTAGATGCAATTTGCCACAAATTCTCACATCTTCATGTAGGATACTACTGAATTTCAATTAGAATTTTAGTAATATGCAAATATTGACAGTCACTATCTCGATATTTTGGATTTGATTCTTTGTTTTTGATTGTTTTTGTTAAAAAATATTATTGATTTGCTTAATACACATATTTCGCTATTGACTTGCGTATGTCAAACATTTGATAGTAAAAAGAACATGTATTTATGACGGTGCTTCATTATCTGAAGANTTTTTGTTAAAAAATATTATTGATTTGCTTAATACACATATTTCGCTATTGACTTGCCTATGTCAAACATTTGATAGTAAAAAGAACATGTATTTATGACGGTGCTTCATTATCTGAGGNTAGTCATAGTGACCATCAAAACGTGAGATTGACGCCTGCACAAAATTGGAATCTGAAGCCATTGTTTTCTGCAAAATAAATCAGAGGAGAAAATAGTTGCGACTATTTTGGACTGTTTGGGATTCTCTTGCTAGAACTCTCACGTTTTCTGGCTTTGATACCACTGATACAGAGTTAAGAAAAAAACAAAAGAGATGAATTTGAATGGTAAAGCTCAATCTATTTAATTGATAAAGAAAAAGGGTCAATAAATAGGTTTTACATCAAAACACTGCATCCTAGCACTAACCACAACTCCTATAAATCAAAATACTTCATCCTAGCACTAACCACAACTGCTATAAAATAGGATCACACATAAGACACTTTCTCAGCCATGAAATCAAATAACCAAATTCCTAAAGACTCGGACAAGCCTACCAATGACTAGAGCTTTCAATAAATATTAATAAAAAAGAAATAAAAACATTTAAATCTTAACAGTTTTGTAAAAAATTTAAAAAAAAAAAATATCCATGCCCAAGTATGAAAACCAGACATGTCAAACTATGAAAACCATGGATATTAATACCGTTACGTACTTTTTGATGTATAATTTTTCATTCCATTGTATTCAGAACCCGCGGATTTAACAATAACGCTTTGGATCTAACATAAACACTTTGGATCTAACAAAATATCCATGGATCTAATACAAATAACTCCTGGATTTAACACAAAAAAAACCACAGATCACACACCATAGATAAAAAAAAAAACCACAGATCAAAAAAAAATCAGAGAGCAGATCGCAAACCATTAACTAGAAAAAAAAGAGGGGAAATTTTCAGCCACACTTTTCCTAGTTTACTATACCTTCAAGGACACCCCTCTATTATCAAAACATCACTGACACTCTTTTTAGTTTATATTTAAACATCACTAACACCCCCTACCATTAAACTGTTATTTCTAACAAAAAAAATTCATCTAAAATACCAAAAAATGCCCCTACATAAACCTCAAGTAATTTTTTTACATAAAATTGTATTAAAATTCGATTGAAGCTGATTAAATTTTATTTTTTTTAACGTATTAAAATTCATGTTTATTAAAATTTATTTTTTACATATTAAAATTTGAGCCGATTTGAACTCTACCCGAGTTATTAACGTCGATAAAAATTTGCTTTCGATTCAATTAAAATTTATATTTTTTTACTTATTAAACTCCGTGTCAATTAAAATTTGAGTAAATTAAAATTTATATTTTTTTATTTATTAAAATTTGGGCTGATTAAAATTCAATACGAGTTAATTAAAAATAATTTTTAATTGGCTCAAATAGAATTTTAATTAGCTCAAATTTTAATAAGTAAAAAATATAATTTTTAATCAGTTATTAAAATAATAAATTTTAATTAGCTTGAATTGAATTTTAACTGACCCAAATTTTAATATGTAAAAAGAATTAGAAAACAAATGGGGTCTCATTGAAGATATGTTTATTTAGAAGGGGTATGGATGAAATTTGTCCTCAAATATATCATGGACAATTTAGTAAAGTTGCATTCTAGTTAATATTTTTAATCTGACATGGAGTGTCAGTGAAGATTCAGAAAATAAATATGGTATCCTTGAAGATATGATAAATTAGAGAGGGTGTGATTGAAATTTTTCCAAAAAAAAAATCATGAAATCCAACAACACATTCGGAGAGCATATCACAAAATATGTAGCCATAATGGGTTAGATCAGCTGTTGGGTTGAGCGACTAGAGAGCTTTAGACGGAGACAAAGAGAGTGGAGAGCTTTATGTGTGAGAGAGAGAGAGAGAGAGAGAGTTTGGACGTTGGCTTAAGGAAAACGAAGAGAAGAGATGTTAGGTTAGATGAGCAAGGCTATTTATATAGGTGCTCAATATGTGAGTAAATATGGTGTTTTGCTGTTAATAGAGTTTGAAGTCTAAATCTCATTTTTTTTTAGCAAAAAGTCTAGACCTCATTAAATTTGAACCTGTGTTAAATGTTTTTGCTTTTTTCAAAAACAACTATTTTATGTTTTTGAAATTGCCACTTGTTTTCAAAACGATTTTTATAAAAACCAAAAAAAATAATAATGATTACCAAATGAGTTTTTTTTTCCTTGTTTTCTCTAAAAGCCAAAATAATAACAAAAAACAAGAAATAAAAACTAATTTCAAGTAGTCTAGATGCAATTTGCCACAAATTCTCACATCTTCATGTAGGATACTACTGAATTTCAATTAGAATTTTAGTAATATGCAAATATTGACAGTCACTATCTCGATATTTTGGATTTGATTCTTTGTTTTTGATTGTTTTTGTTAAAAAATATTATTGATTTGCTTAATACACATATTTCGCTATTGACTTGCGTATGTCAAACATTTGATAGTAAAAAGAACATGTATTTATGACGGTGCTTCATTATCTGAAGAAAAAAATCCATTTGATTGTTTATTCTTAGATTAGTTAAATCAAGTCCAATCAAACATAGTTAAATTTATTGAATCCACTTAAACCCAACCAATGATTTAATGATAATCGATTCATCTTCAACAAAACATAAGACCACCAAATTAGGTGGTCCAGTAAAATACCGACGAAATTTTTTACCCTGAAGTTGAAAATTCGAATTGTAAAGTCCACATTAAAATTCGGTAGTTAATCGTTATACTAACTTAACTAGATTCATTCCCAAGAATAGTAACGATTGCGGTCAATAACCATATAATCCCCCAGCTCAAGACCTAATATAATGATCCCTAAGAGCAATTCCAAGAGGTTCAATAAAACTGGTCTTCTTAACTATTTTACATTGGCAGGGCATAAAACTGAGCTCCATTAGTATAGCCATCCCTGGCGAGGCAAAGCAGCTCGGTAGTTTGTTTTTTGCGCCAACAACGTAATCTGCTCCACCGACTGAAGACTTCAACAAGTATGGTCACTCTCTCAGAAATAGATACGCCTCATCTTCCCCTGTTCACTCTTCTCTTCTCTTTTCTTCACTCTCATTTCTTCACCCCTATTCCCTCTTCTGGTCTCTCTCTCAAAAACAGAAACAAAAATAAAAGCAGGTATGGTTTTTGTGAAACAAAGGACCTCATCGACAATAAAGAACAACGTAGATTAGCTCAAATCCAACGTTTGCAACCAATCTCAGGTAATGTTTGATTCTATTTACTGAATTTACACATACAATAGATATTGAAGATACGACTTCTGGGTATTGTTTTTTTCGTTCAATTCGTGAGAAATTTGCAGATTCGTGGAATTAACTTGTGATTCTTAAAATGGATTTTTCTATCTGTTTGCTCAGATTCTTGATTACATCTTGAGAAGATCAAGAACCGAGGTAGTAAAAAAATCTAATAAAATCCCCCAAAAAATCTAGTAAAACTCAAAAAAATCCAGTAAAACCCCGCCAAAAATTCAACAAAACCCTCAAAAACATCCAGCGAAATCCACCGATATTTTATAATATTTACTCTTATACCATCTTTTATGATATTGCCTCTTATAACCCATACTCGATTAAATTTATACAATATACAGTTAAATTGCTATTTTTTAAATTTTATTATTGAAAGTTAGTTAAAATAATTAACTAAAATAAGTAACGTTGTTAAAATAAATTTTAAAAAATAGTTAGTTAAAGTAAGTAATATAATATTTAAATATATTTTAAGCAACTATTTTAAATAACGTTATTAGAGTTGCTCTAAGAACTCCTTTCTCTCACCCTTTTTTAACCATCAAAAAAAGAACAAAATGTAGGATTTCCTATATTTAACGATAGTAGAAATATAGTCATGCTCGTAGGAACCCAAAAAAGGAAAAGAAACATAAGCAATTCATAGCTGCAGAGCATAGGCATGCTCAATGGTTTCATGTATTAACGATGAAGACAGACATTCTGTCAATGCAAATCCACTATACTTTTCAAATAAATTAGTTAACACAAACCAGACTATACACGATTATAAACAGTCATATACTATTCACACAAGTTTTAACACTACACCTTAAACACATCCCACTGACAATCCTAATTGACAATGTAGACTCCGTCAATGGTTTGAGCTCTTTTTTGGAGACCAATTGTATGCCAAAATTGAGGTATGTCAATTTTACCCTACCTTCCAAGAAACCATTTCTGTCGATCAGTAAAACATATCTTAGTAATGATTTTAACTACAAAATTTAACACTAACCCGATTTATTTAGAATGTTCAAAAAAGGAAAAAAAAAAATACTATGCAACCACATAGGTGCTAGGACTAAGTGTTACAAATGCAAATCACAATGATAGTTTGTATAATTTGGCCAAAAATTGTATGCTATAAATAATTCTAGATAAACCAAATATAACATCATCAAATAAGAATTACCACCACTACCTTTTAATTGAAGATTGTAGTATAATAAATTATTATTTCATCGAGCACGGAATCGAAAGAATTCGCAGGTATGATTATATGAAGACGTCACAGAATTATGTAACAAGGATTGACAAAATTGCATATTATTTGATTTATTACATTACAAGTACAATTGCAATTGCAATGCAAACAAATCATTTAAATTAATGTTATATTATTACATACAGAAGCACCACCGTACATGAAACTATGATACAGAAACAATATCAATGGCTTTGGAGACTTTCCTGTTTCATAAAGTCAACTTCTGAATTAAAATTTCCTTCAGAGAACTCACCAATCTGCGGAATACCTTCAGGCTGTGACCTACTTTATCCTGTGGACACAACTAATAAATTCAAACTACTGAGATTCAGAAACCTCCAAGATATAAAGTGATATGTAAAGAGGTAGCATTCACATACTTCTATTATACTCTGGATACGTATATAATTTAGAGCCCAGAAGCCAAGCCCCAAGCAAGGTTTTATTTCCCAGGCTTCGATAAGGCCAGTAATTCCTGACTTCATGAAGGAATGGATCAAGGCCTTTTACCTTTCTAACTCTTCATCCCAAAATCAAATACCTTTTCCGCCTCAATTCCAATCGTTAATGCGGATGTGAGGACTTGAGGCTTAACAGATGACTATATATTGTGGCATAAGTTTTTGTTTTAATTTGCATTAGGTAAATAATACAACTGAAACCAAGCCTATGAACACTAATTTACAACCAAAGAACACTGACACCTTATTGAAGCACTGAAATTGGCCAGAAAAATGGTTCTAGGAAACCTAAGCACGGATTCTCGGTTGAGGTCGACATACACCAAATAATTGAGATATATCATAATATGACGATAGGTACCTTTTCAAAAATAAAAAAACATTTAATGTTGTTTATTATTGATAAAGAATCACTCAAATTTATAACTATCAAGTCATTACATAATAATACAAATACAAAATGTTTTTTTATAGATATATCCGAATCCTATTTTTTAGAGTTTTGTTATATCACCGTATTCATATCACATTGTACCCGTATCTCGTATTTGTATTTGTGCTTCCTAGTATGAAACTTTCCATTACCAAAAACAGGCCGCAGCACGAGAAAAAATTCCTTTATATATATGTATAAATAAACCTATAATCCTTGAAATGAGCCATTATAGATCTCCTTTAGTTTATAGGAAATACGTTCCTTTCACTTTTTGCCAGAAAAAAGGATAAATGTCTGGTCTAGAAACAAGAAAAGTAAGCAGTAGACACCATGAATGAGGTTTTTAATAGATGAGGTTTCTTAAAAGATGTCACGATGACAAAGAAGCAGAATAAGAGGAAGACAAGTAGCATACCTCACTTAGCAGTTCAAGTCTTTCTAAATTTGGAATTAACTTTTCACCTAGCAAGTTTAAGTCCTCTCCAGAGTCGGGCTTGCTACCATACGTAATTTTCATCATAACTTGACCAGAATCAACCGTATGAGAACTGCTATGGTGAACCATGATTAATAAACAGAAAAAACCTTGACAAGCAAGTCCAAAGGAAGAAATAAAACTGCATACCCATCCTGGAGATGGATTAGGATAATATTCAGCACATTCTCTGCAAGCATAACTAAGAGCGTAATAAGACGATCCCTATTTCCAGCAAGGCGGCACATTTCCACCATTCCAATATACCTCCTGGAACCAAAGGGGAAAAGTGAACTAAGAGATGTATAAGAACATTTGAAACGCATACTAGATTGGAATATTGGGTATATTGTGACCAAGAAAAAGGTTAAGCTCCATAGTAGTGGCTGCTAGTCCCAGATCAAGCAATAATTCAAAATACATAAGATGTTGCTTGCTAGTGTAGATTCTCTCTTAAACTTTTTCCCTGCGTTGACAGAAAATTTTGAAAAGATCTCCATCTCCCAGAATAGGAAGTCATCAGATTTGAGTATCTTCTCGACTGCAGTGTCCAGAAAGGGTCAAACAGTTGCACTATGCTTCCTTATATTTAAATGACCCAATTCTTTCCAGGGATGCAAGATGTGTGACTGTATTATCAAGAGCTTGGAAAAACAAGGAGTACCATTGTTCATCATGCATTGCTTTATATAGTATCTTACACCAACAAAGTTGACTGGATTACTAGAATAGGAATAGTAAAAAGGCTTTGCTTGCATTCTTCACATACAAATTACAATTACCTTAATCCATGTGTGCATGATCAAAAGTATTCTATAAAAGCAATTATGATTATAATAAAATCATCATTGACATAAAAAGGTATCAATGAATGACAGCTGAGGAAGAGATAAAGTTGACTGTAAGAGTGTAAACTTCAAAAAACAAAAAAGAGGTTAAGGCGTGTAATGCTCAAGTTTCCTGAAGTTTTCTGCAGTTTGCTGCCAAAGATATGAACAACTTAAATATCCAATAATGATTCCATTACATGTGATATAAATATCACTGAATTAATCTAGATTGGCAAAACTATGTTGCCCAAGGCCCAATTGATCCAAACTAAATTGCAATTAGGAACAACGGATACAGCTTATCCCATTCATCAGGCTGGTTGAGAATCAGCTCAACCTAGTTATAGCTATGTGATGTATACCCTCCAAAACTACCTCCTTGTGCCACCACCAAATTGTGTTTTTAGTATAAATGTTGAGCTTATGCAAGTGCTGCGGATAAGGAATAGCTCTTCTGCATGAAATAGCTGGGCCTACATGTTTATTTATCTACTAAGAATCAGCAATAAACCTGGTGTCTTATTTGGTGTAACAACTCACTTTTCTGACTTCGGCCATATTTATACTTCATTGATGCCATTCATAAATAGGTCCAGCTGTCATACCATTTTCAACATGAGAAGCAAGCATGTTTCCAAGTCACCAGCTTTTAGCTTCTAAAGCCATGATTAAATCATAACCATCCCAACTAGAAGGATCNTATACTTCATTGATGCCATTCATAAATAGGTCCAGCTGTCATACCATTTTCAACATGGGAAGCAAGCATGTTTCCAAGTCACCAGCTTTTAGCTTCTAAAGCCATGATTAAATCATAACCATCCCAACTAGAAGGATAGAACCAGTGTGTATTTTCCAATTCAATTAGACCATCAGAGATCAAACTATGAAACATAACCAAAATTTGGAAAACCACAACTACCAACACTGACATTAAAAAACACCACCAAATGTCCTAAAACATTTCTTGTGTCGTCAGATTGAAGCATAAAGGCAAGGAACCAGCGTTAGTGGGTACCTTTTCTGTATGCTGTCAGATGTAGACACGCGATCTCGCGGAGCATACATACTGATTATTTCGTCCACTTCCTGCCTCGATAGCTCATTTATGTCTTGAATCTAGAAAACCATAGAGCTATATGTTGTATGGTTGACATTTAAAAAAGCAGCATAATGACAACATAAAGAGACAGGTGGAAGCGACTCTCACCTTATTAAGAAGTAAAGATTTTTCCTCAGCAGCTCTGTCAAGAGCAGTAGTCACTGAATGAATAAGAAAACCAAGTAGAGTCAAAGTGGGCTGCTTCTGTCCTGCATGCGCACGATAATTTGTGGGACTCTCGGAAACCTGATATAAATCATGTGTTAGAAGAAGTTTTGTTTATCATTTTTTTTCAGACAAATTTGGAATTTCTCAAGCAATAAAATATATTTGCTTCCAGCTTAACCAACTAAATTTACCTGCAGTCTTACGGATTTCTTTGTGGTCAGAAAATAGAGATAAGAGCTCAGGCTAAAGCAAAGCCAAAATGTGTTCACTTCTGACTTTCTCGGTTTCTGAGTATTCACAGCAAGATGGAGGAAGAGGAAACAATAAGAGGGAGAGAGAAGTCAGTCATATCTTAATTTCACATGATTCTCTATTTTACCCAGCAGAGTTTCAATTAGGATATTACTTTACCTCCTCAGAAGGCACTGATTGGGCCAGACAAAGAGTCTCTAAATCACGTGAGAAAAGAGAACGCATCATGCCAAAGAGCCCTTGAACAAAACCATACTCATCACTCTCTTCATATGGCCACACCTATATTCAGACATTTTTATAGTCAAATGCTGCCTTACAAGAGACAAATTTAATGGTCCCCATGCAATCAGAGATAATTTTCAATGTGCCCCAACAATGCAATATGCGGTCTATGATTATTTACCCACTGATGAAGTCACTCATTACAATGCTCAAACCAGTTTGCTTCGCAATTTGTCCCATCAAACCATAATGCATATCAAAAGGCCAATACCTTGCTAAGTATGCCCACGACAAGGTTTATCTGTTCCATAGCAAATTCATCAGCATTACAAACATCTCCTCGAAGAATTTGATCAAAGACCAACTGGTGTTCTCTGACAAAATCTATGACTTCACGAACAATCTTATGCTTCACCTATTAGATACCCAGATTAGCAAGAATGATAATCCCGTGTTCGAGAAAATAAAGAATAAAATTAGGAGTACGGATGACATCCAAGGTAAATGTGAAAATGTTACTGGCATAAATAACCAAGAACTAATGGCAAAAGCACATTGCACAATAGATATACATGTTTTCCTTCATCGGTATCTCAACTAGCCAAATTCTTGTGCAGAAGGTATACATGTTTTCCTTCGTTGGTATCTCAAATAGACAAATTCATTTGAGTTCTGCACAAAAATGTTTTTAAGGTTTAACTACGAAAAAAGCACCCTACTCAAAAGCAATAACCATGACTTGGAAAATTTGATGGTGTAATCAGGTACGGAACCAATCTAGGACTCCACATCAATGAAAAAATATGTGGCATGACACAATTAATGAACCGGTACTTAAGAATTAGAAATGAAATGCCCTTTTTGATGGCATCATGTCACTTTCTGTTTTAGATAGCATTGCTCTAGAAACTGATGATACAAGCAAGAAATTAGCAGAAAAATAAATATTTGGAGATATACAAAAGTTCCAGCATTTTCTAGTCAACATTTTAATCATCGTATATTTCTCTTCACCAACCTTAAACCTTTTATATTTTTCACTCCGAAGAAACTGTCACGTGTATGGGAAGTGATACATCACAAATAAGTATGGCAGATGAAAGTTTATGTAAGTCTGCCAACATGAGAGCTCTGAATTTATGAGGTTTTCAATTAAAGTCTTGGCGTTTTTTTTCTTACACGCTTCTATTTATCTCATTGCGTTCTCCCCTACATCAGTCTGCTCACATGTGACTGCAGTTCACTTTTGGGGCAAGATGTGAAGGTTAGCATTTGTTGGGTGCCAACTTCCTGGTAGCCAGAGGTGCAATTGCAAACTGACTAAGCAAAAAATGAACCACCAACCATTTTTCAGTTTGGCCAGTTTTCTCAGGGTCTCAAAATTAGTCCTGTTTCTAGAATATGAAGAACCAATCCCAGTAATTTGAGGTTCTTAACCAATCCACGAACTGAGCACCATCATACACATAGAACCGTGTGTGATGTATAGATTCTTGTCATCAAAACACTAGTAAGTCTCCCAACATGGTGCTCTTGCAATGCTTATGGAAAACCCTTGATATTGGTAAGGTTAATTGTTGTTAATGTGCAATACCGTAAACAATCAAACAAAAAAGAAAATCAAGAACAATGAACACAGATCGTGGTTTACTAGAAATTCTACTTACGTTCATGGAAGCAATTGTTTCACTTTATGAGAATCCCAAAAGGGTTTTAACTCATTATAGGCACCAGTTGAGAACCCCTAATTCTGGTCAATCACCCGAACATAAGCCCAGTACAAGCAATATGGCCAATCCTAGTAAAACTCGTGTGAGATATACACCGGAAGAAAATTAATTTCTTCAACTGAGATGCAACGACAATATTTTAAGTCGGATATACAAACTGAAACTGCTTAAGATATTACAAGTGGAAAATGCATAGGCTGGAGAAAATAACTCAGCAAAAAAAAGGCTAACCTCAAAAAATTCGGACGTATCGAGCAATGAAGTCAGAGAAAAACCCAATCTTAGTATTGGAGTTATAATCATTCGTTGTTTATCAACACCGGCAGAGATGTGTCTTCTAAACTTGGTGTCAGCATGCAATAAGCTTCCCTGCAAACTCGCCATGCTTCAATCTAGGTTGATTTAATCAGACAAGACAATGAGCACACAAAAGAATACCTTTACTTGCATGGTGACTGCCTTGCATGAAGCAATATGCTCCAAAGCACCCATGGAAAATAAAACCTGGGCCCCTGATTTCCCATATTTGTGGCTAATTCTCACCAATAGACCAAGTTCTGCCTCGAGGGTACACGCCCACTGCGATGAATCCAGCAAATGTCCACCATCCTTGAGGAAAAAAGAAAACAACAAATGAGAACTTTTGTTATAAGCAGATGAACATACCACAAGAACACTTATATGGGAGATTAGTTGCAGATTATACATTAATGAAACTTATATGGGAGATTAATTGCAGATTATACATTTATGAAACTTTTCGTTATTTTCATTGATGAATATTCCTTTTAATCATTTGATGACGTCAATAAAAACTTAGAAAAGCAACAAAGTAAGAACAAATATGGAATTTAAAACTCAACTTTTCAAAGGGCTTAAAATTTGAATTTTAATATAATAACACTCAAGCTGTGGATTTTGATCCAAAGGTAGATATTTTTGTCTATACCAGGATTGTAGGTACCCCATGTGCCTGACAATTTGGATCGCACAGCCCAAATGAGGTGGGTTCACNCTTAAAATTTGAATTTTAATATAATAACACTCAAGCTGTGGATTTTGATCCAAAGGTAGATATTTTTGTCTATACCAGGATTGTAGGTACCCCATGTGCCAGACAATTTGGATCGCACAGCCCAAATGAGATGGGTTCACGATCTAGATCACCCTATTCCCAACCATAATTTTTAACAATACTTTTTTTTTTTTTTGGAGGGGGAAGGGGAAGGGGAAAGGAGAGGGCGACTAGAACCCATGACCTCAAAAGGACAAAGCCTTTAATTTTTAACAATACTAATTACTATCTGGTACTTTATTTCTTTGTTTCAGTGATCAGTGAGAAAGTAAACTTTTATATGTAGTGATTTGTATACTAATTACCATTAATTGGTAGGTTGTTGTGGATTACAGTGATCTGTCTGGTACTTTATTTCTTTGTTTCAGTTATCTGTGAGAAAGTAAACTTTATGTAGTGATTTGTATACTAATTACCATTAATTGGTAGGTTGTTGCGGATTACACTTTGATTTGGAACCCTTATCACTATATCATTAATATTAATTGATGATGTGTATATATCTGTATAATTATTTATAATTTTATGTAATGCCATGTAGATAACAGTTCCCAAGCAAATCGCCAGACAAATAGTATATTAATAATGATAGAAGTCCGGATAAGGGTTTCAAAGTGAATGGTGATCCAAAACAGTGCACTAAGTCAGTCTATCCAATCACATTGCAAATCAAAAAATATCAAGCCCATACCCGTACTATATACCAAATCGATTCACAATCCAATCTATACCAATCCATCCCCCATCAACACTCTGAATTAAAAGGGACCAGAAGGTTATTACCTTTCTTTTTTTTAACTGCAAAACCAAATGGTATGAATACAAAATAACTCAAGTCACTCCAAAAGATAATTTATGAAGTGCATTAAAACTTTTTAAACAGTAATACTCTAAAATTATCTTATCAGATGCCTTGATGGACTGTATTAAACAACCACCCCTACATGGTCTATTAAATATACAACATAGGACACACATTTCCTCGTATTGTCTGACCTGGATAAAAGATCTCTAGTCTAGGGTAGTGGAACTTAGGAATNCACCCCTACATGGTCTATTAAATATACAACATAGGACACACATTTCCTCGTATTGTCCGACCTGGATAAAAGATCTCTAGTCTAGGGTGGTGGAACTTAGGAATATGATGATGATGATGATGATGATGATAATTTTCATGCAGCTTGAAATTATAAAATCCACACACCTGATGAGAAACATTGCTGATGTTCACCAGGCAAGATCTCAAAAAGCCCCTGCTTTGAAGTTGGCTCAAGAAAAACTTATCATGATCAACACAAATCAATGCATCCAGAACATAGATTGACATTGTCTTTCCAGATTCACTGCCCTGAGTTGCATCTTTTATTACCTAATGTTACAGTATGAAATAAAAAGAATGTAAGCATAAGGAGGCAAAAAGATAAGCAATTGGAGCATGTAACGGAGTCAACAAACACAAACACTATTTAGCAAAATGCTGAAAAATTCACCATACCCCAAAAAAGCGTATGTTTCGTCATTATGGTTTATCTAGGAAAACATTATCCATTAAAAAAGAAGTCATCACATCTGTTATTGGCTTAATCAACATGATGAAACGAATATTGGAATACCAATGCAAATGGCAGATGCTGTTGACACCTCATATCATTACCAGTAAGCTTGCTAATCAGCAAGCACAAATTGCAAATTCAGTCTTTTATACCTAATTTCTTAAGCAAGTTGGTGCAGTGAGCAAAATCCACCAATCAGCTTCCTCTTCAACCTTCCGAATCATCCTCTTAAACCCCTCAACTCAGTTTAATACCATTATTCCTCGGTCCTTACATGACATTGGTAGTCTTTGAAGCAAATGGTCAACATTTCCACCTTAATCAAAATCTTCATATCAAGTCACCAAGAAGAATTATTCTTTGTACCAACAATGACAACTTCCTTCGAGCACCTTATTTTTTACAATTACCCTCATTGACCACCCCTTGGAAAAGAAAAAAGGAAATGATTGTCGAATTTCTCCAGTCTTAATATAGGCCCACTGGCAGGCACTAAAAATAGACAGGATCATTAGGGTGTTTAAACAGGCTTTTAATCTTTGTAGTAGATGTTGAAGCAGTGGTTGTAATTTCGAGATAGTATTCAGCTATAGTTTACTAAACGAGAGCATTTCCGTGGATACAAGGATGAAAACAAAATATGACACACGAAGTAGAACATTAAATTTGTGAATGCAAGGAGAAACCATACAATATAATCAGAGCAAAAAGAAAGATTTTGACAAAAGCATAAACGAAAAAATTAGAAGGCAAAGGTACCTACCAAATCTAGGATTGCTTGAGCTTCTTTCCTTAGAATAGCAAAATTTGCACGTGCCAATTCAGCCTGATCTTTGTCAATCTGTAAAAAAAGATGCATCATAGCATTTCACATAACAAGACATCAATTACAAATGAGATCTTTCTACACTAAGTCATAAAAACCTTCTGCAGATCGAAATCTTCACTGTCTTGCTCATCAATCAACAAAAGCTGCAGAACCGTTGTAGGAACGTCTGGATCAAGCATATGCTGACAATACTGGAAGTAGCTAAGAAGCAAGGCATATTGGCTACATTCAGAAATGTCAAATAAGTTAGGACTCACAAATTCATATAGAGATTAAAAAAAAAAAATTACCTAACCAATAACATACCGTCTTCTCAATGCTTCTGATGATTCATGTCTCAGAATTGCCAAGATAAGTTTAAACAAAATTGAGTGGCAGGCCCCATTTGACAATTGCTTTGGCATGATAATATCCAGACACGTGACGGTGTCAGAGTTCAAAGCACCAGGGAATAAGTATCTCTCCTCACGCAATTTGGCCATGCATGTAAGAGCAACCTTGGGACACGTAGTTAAAGGAAAAGGTAAAGACACTAAAGCCAGAAATTGGAAAATGGAAATCTATTGGGCAGCACTACTCTAAAGAATAAATGTACAAATATACAAAAATCAAACCTGTGTCAATATTAATGCCATCTTCAATGAACAGTCAGGAGAACCAGAAGCATTAAGAGAAGCATCAAGCAACCTATTAGTAAGGAGAAGAATGGTCACAGAAGAGCAATATAAAATGGAAGACCAGAACTAAACATGACCAGGTGACCTACTGAAACAATATTTCAGATCGATTTTCAAGAGATGATATTCTTCTGGATGCAGAGACCTGTAAAATGAGCTGACAATATATTAGAACCAATGAAGCTTATATAACGGCCTAAGTAAAAGGCCATAAAGAAGACTTTTAGATGACTTCTTTATGCCACGGGCAAATTTACAAGAGCCATTGACCTCCACAATCTGAGACCAGCCAGTTAACATATGAAGCTGGGCAGCTTGTTCTTCAAGGTTTCTATTGTATTTCCACCCCCATCTTAACAACTGTTGGATAGTATCTCTTACTTCATTGAGCTCAACTTCACTGCCAAAGGAGCTTAGCTGGGAATTGACCAAATTGCATTTCTGAAACAACACGCTTTAATCAGCGCCAGAGATTTCCATTGGAAGGCCAAAGGGGATAATATTCACATATCCACAAGCAGTTGCAATATGAGTTCACCTAAACAATCAAAATTAATAGACTAACACCTGCCAGAGTTTGTCTCGGAATGAAGCTAGGTCAATCAAACGGTCACCACGTTCCGTATAATAATAAATACCATCCTTTCCAGAAGTTGAAGGATTACCAAGAATATCCTCGGCCTGTAAGACATGAAGCATCAAATACTCCAACAAAATGAAATAACAAAATACACATCATCAAGAGATAAATCTTACAAGGAAGCCATTCTTCATCTCAGAAAGAACCTGAGAAGGCTTTATAGTGGTATCAGGAGATCTAAACTGGACAACTTCCAGCAACTCCAACACCTACATTTAAATGGGAAAAAAAGGTGAAAAACCGTAAGTGTCCACATCAGAAATCAATGAGAAAGTAGTAACTTGTCAGAATCAAAATTCTGGCACCTTCAATACAAAATAAAGCAATATTCTCCAACACAATAAGAGGAAGAGAGAGAGTGTTTGTCTCACTCTCAGAGATGACCCTTGGGTTCATTTGCTTTTGTTTTGATATGGTACCAACAGCAATGGCTGTTTTCCGGTTTGTCAGTCCCCAATTATATGTTCTCTTCAAACCATGGCATATAGAAACAGGCTGTCGACTTTTTTTGGTGCATAGAGAAATATATCATCAGAGCATTCCAGGTAACTTCAAACATCTATCTAATATTACAGCATACAACTAGCAATTTGAATTGCATATTTACAAAAGTACAACGGCGACTGAGATTAATCCAATCTTCATCCAAGTTCATCAAACGGTACAAAATTCATTCCAAAACTTTTTTTCCCAACATAAAAATACCATTTCGCTTCACGACTCCTAATATTAAACAACTTAATCAACACTCCCCAATGCCAGACAACTCCACTAATCCACACTTACCTATTTCTTCTCTATCCCCTACCTCTCTCTTATTTTTTATGTTCAATTTAATTTTAAATTGCATAATTAAAAATAATAATAATAACTTAATATTTAAAATATAAATGTTACACAATCAATTCTCAATTTTTGATACTATAAAGTGTCTTTAGGTATCACGAGGTTATTGCTAATACTTATATAGTAAGAGCATAATAGATACTTGCACTCAAAAAAGTCGGCCAATACAGAAGCATCATTAACAGAGAACCTCTAATAGATCACCAAATACGTTGAGCTGAATGAACAAATATCTATTCCTCGAAATGGCAAGGGAAAAATATTTGAGATAGAACCCGAGCAATGATTTATCTCAAATAAAATCTAAAAGGAAGAAAAAAGTAAACAAAATCATGTTGGAGTGGGCCATCCTCAAAAAATCCCCAAAATGCTATTTTCTTAACGTTAAATCTTTTCGCACCATATTGCAAATGATAACCCATAATTTTTCTTTCTTGTTTAGTTTTACAAAAAGATCAACAAAAAAAAAATGAGTAATGCTATAAGTTTTAACATTTAAACCTCTTTTTATGGGGATAAATAGACGCCTATGGTTCTCGGGGTGCCCATGCAATTATTAAGGCAAGCTGCTATTGTACCAGTAATGGCGTAGCTGGAATCAAATTATTTGTCTAGAAAGGGTATAGCAATAACCAAAGCCGACTTTACTAGAAACTCAACATGTTGAACAAGAAACTAGCCTTAAAGTAGTGTATCGAAATACAGGAGAAATTACTGTTATTGGTGTCATAAGGCAACACTCTTTTGTTCTTCATGGCCAAAAAAACATGATATATGAAGACCAATGTTGGGATTGAAGGCTTATGTGTAGCACCTTCACCTGTTCTAGTCTCAAGATGTTGGGTCCTTTGCCCTCTTTAACTTGTAATAGTAGGGCGTTCTTCATCTAAATGCTCTTCATATAATGAAATTGTCCAACTCAAACTCTTCTTGTTGCTGGAGAATATTATGGTAAGCTCGTCTGGTGTTGGCATAAATAATAACTCCTATCATTGTTAAAGCTTTCTATTTTAAGGCTTGAAAAAGGATCAAACATATTAAGGAGAAGCTTTCANTATTATGGTAAGCTCGTCTGGTGTTGGCATAAATAATAACTCCTATCATTGTTAAAGTCTTCTATTTTAAGGCTTGAAAAAGGATCAAACATATTAAGGAGAAGCTTTTTCAGAGGCCAATACCCGATAGCTAATGTCACTTGTTTGAACTTCTTTATCTACTTGAAAGCTTATGGGAGTATAGCTTTCTTCAAGGAAGTGCCCTCTATGATATTATATTAGTAAAGAGGCCTCAAATTTGCCTTTTATCGTAAGCCTAGAAACAAGGTGTAGTCAATTCTTTGAAACTTATTCATTGAAAAAGACCAACTTCAAAACTGAAACCTACTTCTTCCTTCTTATTTGTAAGATAGGTTTGGAACCCACATTGTTAGCGAATTGGAAAAGGAGCTTCCCTTTCCCAATGAGAGAATCCGTCTTCATTTTTCATCAGTGTCTAGAAGCCACAGCTTTAGGAAACAAGTCTAGATATCCGAAAAGGCAGACATGCACATCCAATAAATAAATGAAATTAAAAAAGACAAGATACCACTTGCGGTAGCAAAACAGACATAGTTGCCATTACGAGTAAAGTAGTCCTCAGCCATTGGGATGCTAGCGCCGACTGATTGATGAACATAACAACCCATTAATAGATAAGAGGACTAGGCATACTTCGAATGCAATAAAAAAACTTGATTGAGATAATGAGTCTACTGTCGGGAGACTACGTGAAAAGACTCATCCCTCTCTACCCTAGGCCTCGAGTTTGAAAAAAGTTATGGCCAACAGTTGGATTATTTTATGTTGACTACAGGTTCACAACAACTCCTTATATTAAAGCCTGCTCATGCATGAATGACAACATGTTATCATCGTCAATGTGACTAAAGACAAACGCGACTTTAAGTGTGTGTTAACCACGCACTATCGCGTCATGTAATGATGTATGTATGATCATAGTTGTTAATATCATACGATACATGTTGATATATCAAGAAAACGATACATGTTGATACATCAAGATAACGATAGGTATCGCTTTAAGTGTATCAGTGTTGCATTGTGTCGTGTGATACATAATATGATACAATTGATACGATACAGTAAATATGAGTCATTTGATACAAGGCAAAACACATCCAAAAAAATATTATTTTAACTAAGAAACAACACGTTTTCACATAAAAGTAATTTTGGTAAACACTAGGTAATTAAGCAACGCCGTTTCACTATCTACGGTTTGAAAAAATAGAAATCTTCTTTTGTTATCTGTTCTATCATCGTAACAAATAGTTTGATTATTAAAAGTGTCCTCATCTGGCTCCTTTAAATGCTAGAATTTGAACTCTCTAAATTTTAACATTGATGAATTATGTTAGAAATTTGAATAGATAGATTGCTAATTTTTTTGTTTTGGTCCTTGTAGTCTGTTTAAATTATTTTAAGTTACTTGAAATAATTGTGAGTAAAAGGAGATACTCAAATTAAGAGTAAAACCCCGTATATATAGGCAAAATATAAAAATCATAGTAAGGGTAAAAAAGGGAAAAGAAATCCTAAAGGGAAAAGAAATCCTAATAAACCTAGGAAAGAGAAATCCTAATAAACCTAGACTATCTATACTCCAACACTCCCCCTCAAGCTAGGCGCAAAAATGTCAACTAAGTCAAGCTTGACAACGGAGTCCCGAAGAACAGACAGAGTGACAGGTTTGGTAAAAACATC